AAGAATAAGTTGTTCCATCACCTTTCCAGGAATGGAAGTGAGGCTGACCGGTCTATAGTTACCCGGGTCCTCCTTCTTGCCCTTTTTGAAGACTACCAATAGGTTCATTACAAAAAGTAATAAATATGAGAAAACAATTGCAGAAGTTTTAAGGGATCACATGTGATGCCTCTCCCCCCACCAGATACCAGCTAACACAGAACTATTTAATGTTAAGGTTTCTAGGAAGATACCTGTATCTTTAGACACTAAGCATACATCTACAGTATTCATGCCAGTTGAAAGCAAAGCAGATTAATGCAGTAGAATATTAGGGGGGGGGGGAGGGGAGGGGGGCGAATACCTCGTAGCATTCTCTAATACTGTTCTTGTAAGAAAGCCCATCCACATACCATCTCTTCTACCAAGAAACCATTCGAAGATTCCTGCAAAATATCACTGGTTACAATAATTTGTTTTCAGAAGGTTCACTCATGCTACTCTAACTTTCACAGCCGTTAAAATGAACTGTGTTTTACCCTACTCATCTGGAATCTTTTTCACCATTTGTGTGCCCGTTTATTAAGGTAACTGGTATGCCCAAAGTCTGAAAACTTGTACAGAAATAATGACAGAAATGAGCATTACTCACCAATATAACCACCATCAAGACTGAAACGTTCATTCATTGTCAGAGTGAACAAGTCCTGAAAAGAATTAAACAAGTCAACCTTCATCCATCACCAGCCCATCAATACCAGTAATAAACAAGAGGCAGCATTGCAATTTACATGCCAATTAAGCTTCTTGTTTGTTAGACTCTTCCCCTTTGAGTAATGGGCTGCAAGATCAAGCCCATGAGGAGAAGAACCTAATTTATCACTGCTTGAGAAAGTAGAAATGACAATTCACGGTCTTCTGACCTGGCATAGCAATCTAGCAAACCAAGCTTTTATGCTAAGCAAGTCAAGCCTGTGGCCATTTTTCTCTTGGTCCTTGTTGCATCACTGAATTACCAGTTTTCCTTCCCCTGATGTACGTAACCTTCTTCTCAGACCTCTGAATACTATTCTAGTTTGAAGGCAGACTTTTAAGTCCCAGTGCTACGTACACCCTGATATGTTATTGCTGTTCACATGGGCACGCAGCTGTACACAATTTAATCCATGCTACTTGTAACATGCAATTCAAACTCAAATCTCACTCTTCTCCAACTAGTGTTTCTTTCAGAGGAAAGTGGAATTCAGCTACACTGGATCATTTTTCAGAATGTACTCTTCCCAATTTATTTGACCAGAATTAAAAAATAAATGGATACAATGCAGGGATTTATGCCAGAAATGCTCTACTATGAAAAGAGCCACCTCTAATAGAGGGTAAAGGCAGAGTGTGTAGAAAAGGTGGCGTTGTGGGAAGCTGGAGACTCTGGTGTAGTTCTGTATTGCTGGATTTTAAGATGTAGATAAAACCCAGACTTCAGGTACCGGTTAAAAAAAAAAAAAACAAAAAACAAAAAACCTTGCAATGTAGGACTCCTTTTCCAAGAAGGATTGGAGAAAGAAGGTAAATAGCGCAAGTATGCTGCCTCACCTCAGAGATCGCAGCAGTTTCTATCTGCTATCCAGAAACTCCAACCATTTGAGCGCTTTGTATTCACTCCTATTTGTATTCAGAATTCAACATTGTTTTTGAGAATTGTCCAAACACATAATTTTATTTACGCAATCTCCTTTTATAAGGAAGAGTGCAGCACTGTTTTCTTTTACCTTTCTTCAAATAGCTATACTGTGTACCACAACAATTAAGAGATCATTTATTTAAAAAAAATCTCAAAGTAGAGAATGTAAGCAGGAAAATTTACATCTTCAAGGAAAATCTGAAGCATTATTAACAAACTGACAAGCTCCTCTCACCATACTTACTGGTTTGACTCCAGACACCATGCCTATGTATCCCGCAAAATTTGTAGATTTGAATACTGTTTTGTTGTTTCTCTGGAAGTCCAAGTTTACCACTATAGGTTTCAGTTCCCGAGTGATAGTCCAGGAATTATTTTTAACATCCCACCTGCAGAAGTCAGTACAGCATTAGAAACTTCCCTCCCCCTGTAGCTTTTAAAACTTCCCTTCACAGCATGCAGATTTCCTGTGTGTGACGCCTGTCCTCTAATCTTACTCATGTCAGCCAGCACCACTGCCCAGCAGTTACCTGAGCAGCACCAGCAAGGGACAACTAGGAAGTCCAAATGCATAGGCAGTCAGTGAAAAGAACCAAGTTTTGTTTGAACCAAGAAGCATACATACTACTCAGTGCTAAACAGCACCACCATTACAGCCGGTTTGTTTTGGACACACATATTGCTGGCAAAGAGAGCCTGCTACAGGTAGTCCCTGTGACACCAAACCTCCTGTATCCTGAAAGCATGTGTAGCTTGTTCTGCAGCAGAATGAGCTGGTTCCCTCAAATTCTTACTTTTCAAAGGTAGAAAACAAACCCACACACTACTGGATTTGATCTACAGGAAGGGAAGTCCCAGTTCTAGTTTGTAAAATAAGCCAGAACAGTCAGTAGGCAAGAGGGTGCTAAAGGACACTTAGCAGACGATTATATTCTCTGGAAACAAGCCAGGTTCTGGGAAGAGCTTTGAAAAGTTGCCTTAATTTTCAGGTAGCATGTTCCTAGTATTTCTGACAAGTGGGAAAAGTTCAACACAAGCCAAAGCAAGGGATAGGTGGAGTCACAGTTGACACCATTTGAGTAAATGGTAGGCAGTCAAGAATTTTAATGAAGATGGTAATTTAAATTCCATCTGGGCATTGAGAGTCATGTGGAGGAGTGATATACCAAGATAATATACCAGGATAATAAAAGCAAACACTGAACTACCTGATCACAAGGTACGAAATGAGAACTGAAAGAGAATCCAGTGATGGGCAACAAACTACAGAGTTTGTATCCAACTGAATGATAATGTCAGATCAGTGGAATACAAATCACTGGCTTCTAAGCAGAAATCATAAATGATGGGAAGTACCAGTACAGCACAGGACAGTAACTAGAGAGATAATGTGGAAAAAAACTAACCACAAAAACAAGCCCAAATCCAATCCACATTTCACTCCATACACTAAAATTGATAATTCTGTCCTATCATGTAAAAACCAAGACACACTGTGCCTCAGAGATAAGATTACACAGACCGTTCTTTGCCTCCAGAAAGTTTTAACTGGAGCTGAGAAAACACTATGTAACTCTCAATGCAACTGTTTTGCAAAGTCATTCCTGACAAAAACAGAGCAGTTTGACCTAAGATCAGCAGAACAACCCTTTTGTTTGTTCTAGCCATTTTTCACAATATGCAATGCAGAATTACTTGTCACAGTCTTAACATCGAATTCATCATTTAGACTCAAAGAATGCATTTAGAAATTTCAAGTTCAGCTAGCTTTTTCTTTGGGTTAAAAAAAAATAAAAATAAAAGGCACAAGTTTAGGTACTTACCCGAGAAAGAGTCCAAAATCCAAGTTTCTGGCATGGTACAACTTCCCTACATAAAAATAAACAAACAAATAAACACCATTTTCTAAAGAGAGAGACATAAATTTCAGCTTACAAAACCACAAAATGAGTACACAGGAAAAATACCTGGGAAAGTAAGCAGGGAAAATACCATTGTCTAGTTGCTCTTTTCATAAGTACAGAAAAATGGTGGGTTTTTTTGGATCAGATACAGTGTTTTGCCATAACTGAAATCAAATGATCTTGCAAAATGCTGTGCATCTCAGCCTCATATGCTTTCCACATTATCTTAATGCAATGGTAATACCTTGAGCTTCCTCTAAAGGTGAGACATTTGTAAACCCTCTGGGAAGCCCTCAGAAGTTTCCTAAGCTGGAACAGGTGCAGACGTGGACTGTAAAACTGAGTATGAGAATGAGTCTTTTTTTCTTAAAACAGCCTACCCATTTTCTCTAGCACCATACATATGCAACAGCTAGAAACTAGATGCTCATGGCACCGAGAATGTGGCTGGCTGGTGTTTCTTTTCCCTAAAAAACAAATGCCATCTATTAAAAAAAAACAAACCAAACCAAAACAAAAAAACAAACCACCACAAAAAATCCAAAAAATCCCAACAAAACCAAACCCAAAACACCTTTGAAAGTAGTTCTTCCTTTTTTTTTTTTTTTAAACCTGACACCTGTATTCTCAACAAACACTTTTTTATTATCATTGCTTTTAGTTTCTTCTACTAGACCTTCTTGCCTGCAGTTTAGAAAGACTATGGTTCCATAATTGAGGTGGACCCTGTCCTACATAACAGAAAACTGTTAACACTATTCTGGGTTGCATTACCTGTTTTATCTTCCGCCACTATTGATGTACATACAGTAAAAATTTCATAAAAGATGTTAAAAATAACAATTTCCCCTAGAACAAAAAGAAACAAAGTTCAACAGATTGAAACTTTTGCCATGAACTGAAAAAAAAGTTAGAAAAACGCATACTGGAAAGATCAGCATTCTATAATATTTCTTTTAAAATTTTCTGTTTAAATCTCATTTGATCTTTGAAATGACTGGTTCAGCAAAATCAAGAACTTATTGAAAGGCAAAAAGAAGGATCAGAATCATTGACCTTCTGCCTTACCACTGAGAAAGCTGAGTCATTGCTACTTCCTTCTCCGGAAACTTCAAGCTATAAAATTCACTTTAAAGAAGAAAGCTGATAGATGTACCACTATTCCCATATAAAAGCTGCTGACTAGTACCAGGTGTATGATGGAAGCAGTGGAAGCAGGTCTATGGACCTTCTCTGTCTCAGTTCTGGAGGAACCCAGTATCTACTTCTCACCTGGAATTGCACTCTTTTGCAGGAGGTGCAGAAGGAAGGCAGGAGGATGTGGCAAGGATCACAAGGGAAAGAAACCAAGCATGAAACTGAGCTTTGCCTTCTTGGTGTGTCAACAGCACACAGCTGAATGGGAAACCAATGAGAATCAAGGATTCCCCCAAACTTTGGTGCACAGCAGCCGAGACTTGCTCCAGTTCCCAAAACTCAGGAGCGAGAAGCTAGAGATCTACAGAGAAGTCCCAGCCTGATGAAAGGCTTATGTGATTTATTGCCATTCTCCTCCAAACACTGTTTTCATTTAATGTGAGATGCAATTTATTGCTTTACCTACTTAATTAATAATTTACTTGCTAAAGTCACAGATGACTACACCTATACCGCCGACTGGTACACATATTAATTTTAAACGAGTCTGTATTCCTAGTTTTCCATTACATTAACAAAGTGTTGGAAACTATTACCCAAAGGAATCCCAGATGAATTTGAAATCCCTTGGAGTTCTTCATTGAAAGGATAAGGAAGCGTGGCGGTCAGATGAGCCTGAAAGGAAAAGTTTTGTATATTGTTTGTGTAAATTAATGCTATTTTGTCACTTTGGCAAAACAAACTTCTCCCAATAGGTACATCCCTCTCACAACTCTTAAATTGAAGATTTTAATTCCTCTGCAGCTTGGAGAACTTGAGGGTGTTTGTACTTTGTAGTGTACTTAGCACATACTTAGGGAAAGTAAAAACTATTACTTATCAAAATATTGATATGTGATCAATGGCAATTAGCACACTATCTTAATTATTATCATTAGCAGCAATAGACAGAACAGAGTGAAGTAAGACAGAACAGAGTGAAGTTAAGAGCTCAACTGGAACTGAGCTTGACATCAGTGTTTAAGGGAATCCCTAACTTTCACACATTGGTAGGACTACCTGTATGCACCACCTTTACATCAACTCCACTCAGGCACACAGGGATATGAACGAAGTGTGGCCAGCATGGCCTTACACTGCTGCAAATAAAGATGGGGAAAATATTTGACCTTATGCACTTTTTAGCGCTGCACTGTTTTCTCCTGTCCTCATTCTATGCCAAAGCCTATTTTAAACACAACCAAATTATTTTTTAAGATGAGGCCTGGTAAAAGTTGCCCCTGTAATCAGACATTTATTACAGTTTTCAAAACCCAATTTTATTCCACTGTTTAAAAGGAGTTGAGCACAGCAAAGAGAATTTCAGTGAAGTGTTTTGTTACAGTGACTAAGTCAATAGCATATATATCTAGCATGACTAATCCAAACTTGAAGAGATCTTAGAAAAAATTAGAGGAATAAGAGACATATGCATTTTAGGTTTGATGGCTTCACAGTAATTCAGAGTCGGCAAGAAGGCAAAATTTCAGAATAACTCTTCAAAATAGTATTTTGTTCTGGAAGTGGAAGAATAATCACTTGTAAAACTCTTAATTGCCAAATTTAGTAGCATTCTAATTCTGGTCATCAGAGCACACAGTAATGAAATAATTAAGCTGAAAATACTTACTATTTTGTTATCCACTATGTCAACAACTTTGCCACTGGGGAAGAAGGTATTTGCTATATCTTTAATATTCTGGACCACAGTCTTCAGCTATAAAGAAAAAGGGCTTTTACTGAATAGGAGATCTTGAGCATTAGAATTGCCAGAACTCCTTCACATACATTTCAAAAAAATATTTTGTTGAAAAAATACGTATTTAAAGAAAGCGCTAAACGTGGTGTTCTTGGTGAGAAAAACACCCTCACCTCCCCATTGAAGAGTCACGCTTCAAGCTTTATTGAAATAACTTTCTAGATTAGCTCCAACATGTCCCTCTACCAAAGAAAACAAATTACAGGAAAAAGCCATCCTCATCTTCTGCTCCTCGGATCACATTTTAATACTCTGCACTCTTCTATCTTTAAAAATGCTAATTAAAAGCTCTTTGCTTAAGCACTGATGTTCCTGAAGCCAAGACAACTCAATAAATTTCTCATAAAAGTACATGCTTTCCATTTGCGACATGAGTGGTCACAAGGAGAGTTCCACTCTACGGGATCTACCTCCAAAGTACATGAGGGATAAAACCTTCCAGAATTCAAGGTGCAACGTGAAGTTTCCACTGCCCACTGGCTTAAATGAGACTTTTAAAATAAATATTACAGGTTAAGTAGAATTTGTCTGGCTTTCAGAGTTGAAAGGTCAAAGTCAGCAGGGATACTGCAAAAATTCCTGGCCTTTTTTGAGAAATTAAGCATTACTGAATTGAATTTTCAGCAACCTTCTGACGAACAGCTCTTGTAAGCACTTTGAAATAGGCTTGAGCGATTTTTAAATTATTTCTCCCCTGTAAAGCCCAGTGCTGCAACCAGCACCCCTGAAATGGGCAGGAAGTTCATTTCCCCCTCGCCATTTCATCGTCACATGCACTGTTTTGAGGGAAGCAGGGATGCGCAGAGGAGGAGGGATGCTGCCTCAGTTTCACTTCAGTTTACTGAGCCTGTCCCTTGGTGTACTCCTCCCCCTTCATAAATGAAAGCCTGCTTTAAGCTACACCAATTTTTTTCACTCTACATCACAAACATCAGTGCCCCTATACTTGATGCTGCTGGCTGAAGTGTTGAACAGAAAAAAGTTTTATTCAAACAATTATTTTACCCTAGATTCATATTAAAAAAGTGAACTAGAAATATTATCCCTTTCAGACAACTTTAGCACAGGTATTCCTTTCCAAATATTTTTTTCAAAATAAAAGCCATGTTCTAGTTTTATACCTGCTAAGCTTCAAAGCAAGCTCTGCATTTCATACCTCTGTCTTTTTGTCATGCATCAAGTTATCCCATCTTTTGCTGGGAGGTAAATCAAGATTTATGACATATGTGGGTACATTCCCTTTGAACCTGAAAGACAAGTACCAGAGTTCAAATTTAAAGAAGGTTTTGAAAAAACATTTGACAAAATAGGCCCTTCCCACCTGTAACTAGCATTTGTTAGACCTGCAGCAGGAACAAGTTACCAAAAAAACCTGTTCAGACTTGCAAATCCCTACTTTTCTGTGATTTGTTAGACAAGTTGAATCAGATTACTTACGTTGGTCCTGAAGGAGGATATGTTTTACTCCTGCACTCTTCTCCATACTGTAAAGACAGTGAAACATTGCTACTTAGCTTCTTTATCAAAACACTTTATTATTCTCATGGACTTAGATTTGCATTAAACCTCTAGGACTAGTCAGCTAATTAAATTCATTATGAGTTGATAATAAAGGAAGGGAAAGTCTTGCGACTTTGGAAAGGGTGCAGGGGAGAGCACAAGAGGCTGGAGACAAACAGCAACTTCCCCATGCTGTCTGACAGACCTTCAGACAACTTGCCTAATGTAGTCCAAGGCAAGTACAAGTTTATGATAAATATACAAACCCATTTTTACTCGGCATGATTCAGTGAAGAGCACTTCAAAAGCATATTCTTTAAACTCAGAAACCTTAAAACTCAGTAAGGACCAGTTTGTTCTGTTCGCTCAATTTGCAACCATATTTTATAGCGTCATTCATAATTATGCCTAGTGTTAAGCTTCTTTTTGCAGCTGGGACAGAGAAAGCACACTGAACTTTGGGCAAATTACTCAGCCAGACGAATGAGCTATACAGCATGACTTCTTTTTACTTCGTGTGCTGTACTAATTAGATTACTTTATCAGTGTGTCCTTATAATGCATTCTCGCTCCACTAAAAACTGAGATGAGATCTCTAGCAGCTACATAGCTGGGGCAAACAAGCTAACTAATGTATACGTCCTTCTTGGGCTCATACATTATCTGTTTTTAATGCATGAATCCAGAAAACATAATGTCTTAATGTCACAGACTTTAAGCACAGTCATAATTTTTACAACTGCAAACAGGAATTTTAAAGTGGGATCAGTTTCTGCGTGTTACCATGTGTTTTCTTTTTGTATTGTTTCAAGTGACTGGGAGAAACCATGAGATTAATTTTGGTTTTCCTACACACGCAATGAAGGTATCGGACCAGCAGTTCTGTGTTTCCTAGATTTCACTGTGGTGCAGTTATAGCCTCTGCATAGCTGGAACAAAAGGTCAAACACAAGAGGCCATTTAATTTTCAAAATTAGGAAGTTTCAAAACAAGGAGGGTAAGAAAGGATATCAGATGACTAATTAGGCAACAAAAGCCAAAGTCTTTGTGCAAAGCCAAGCAAATACTTAACAGTACTAATGCACTTCTCTTGTGAATTTTTCCTTCCTTCAATACTGATATCAGTCAGAAAAAGTGACATTACATATACATCCTGCTGCAATGAATGCAGAGATTTAGACTTTCGGGAAATATTTGCTGTCAAAATATGTGTCAGATAAAGCCTGTAACAAAAAATTATCCAAAATGGATGAAAGTTCAGTTGATCTGTCAGTATATAAATTGGTCAGAGGGCTGGAGCACCTCCCCTATGAGGACAGGAAAACCTGGAAAAAAAAATATTAAGCAATAACAGTTATTATGCACTGCAGTAAAGAAAATTAATGCACAGTTTAATGATTGCCAAGTAAATATTTTAAAACCTAGCCTGAGTTCATTAATATGAAATAGGTTGCACGTAGCTTGTCCTGTCTAAAGAATGCCAGCACTAAAATTTTCTTTACTACTCTCAAAAATATTTTTGATCTGGATCCTCTCCAGCATCCTTCCTTACTATTCAGTGTTTCTCATCTTCACACTTAAATACAAAATTACCTCTTTGAGCTATCAAATATGATTTCATAGGTTAAGGACATGGCATTCAATCTTCTTCAGAAAAAATAATCTGTTCTATTCAGCATCTTTTGATCTAGGATCAATATGGTCTAACACACTTTTCTCTCTGCTCTTCTTCCCTTATGGGACGATGCCAATGCAGCACTCAGTTGTGCTGCAGCAGTTGCAATGCTGTTCACCTTTTGTGAACATGGGAGTGAAGAGTACTCTTGCAGTGCTGGTGAAATGGGGACCAAGCCAATTTAAATTGCAGTTTGGACAAAAAATTCAGTATGATTGAGGGGGCCTACCCAAAAGCTAAAGGGACTGACCATCTGCACCACTGAGATGTAAGTCATGGCATTTAGCTTCCATGTTCTTTGTTAATGAAAAGAACCCAACCAGCTGTACGTAGGAAGAAAACAATCGTTGTTCATTGTTCAGAAATGATGCCATCTCAGCATCTCAACCAAAAATAAGATATCCAAGCCTGATATCTGGCTGCACAGCAGCACAACCTGCAACCTGGATACCCAGTAGATATTATGCAAGTGCAAAGATGTACTAAGGGCAATCAAATGCAAAATCAAGCTCTAATGATAGACTTTGCTGATAGCTGGTACTTTCTCCCCACCCCACACCCAAGGACACTTTTAGATAAAATTCTGAAGGCGCTTTAAGGTGGGGCTGGCTTATAGTATTGGGAAGCTGCTCTTGGTGGGGAAGATGGGAAGGTGTGCACAGAAGAGGGCCTAATTCTGTGTAGTCAGGATGCTACAGGAACATGGGTCATCCAGATGTCCACAGTCCTCCAATGCCTTTCCTACAGTTCTCCCCTCTCCCCAAAACCATACTTGTGTTTATGAGATAATTTTCTAGGAAAAGTCTTGAAGCAAACACAAAATAATACAGGAAGTTGTGTGCTCCCAAAATATTTAAAAATATATAAGAGTAGTTTGAAATTCAGGGACATTTAAAAACCTGTCCTCTTCACAGAGAATGAGGAGATTCAGAAACTGAAGAGAC